AGGGATGGGCTGCCCAGAGCATCCCCACCGACCCAGGGATGGGCTGCCCAGAGCATTCCCCCTGACCCAGGGATGGGCTGCCCAGAGCATCCCCACCGGCCCACACGGAGGGGATGATGAGGAAGGGAAGCCTCTCCCTTACTAGGGGACAAACAGACCCTTCAAACACCCCAACCCACCCTAAACTTTTACCATCCTGTGATCACTGTTTCCCTGAGACAGCATCAACTCCCTCCACCAGAGAAGGAGCCTTGCCTGGCTACTGGGGATGCTGGGAGTGACTGGTCCAAGCCTTCAGCCTCTCTGGGTGCTGACTTGAGTTGGCTGAGCTGCAAGACATCCCTTCTGCCAACCCTCTCCCAAAAACACACCCCACTTGCTCTGCAAGCTGATGTCAACCTGTCCATCTGCGAGGGGGCCGTGAGGATCAGCTGGCACTGCAGAGCTGTTCCTCAGGGATGTGGGAACGTGGGGAGGTGGAAACGGGGAAAAAAAAAAACCAGTAGAAAACAGCGATGAGGCAAACCTGTGGCACATCTCTGGAGCAAACACCCAGCGGGCTAAAATTAGCCCTGTATCCCTGGCACTCTGGATACCTTCCCACCAGGAAAGCAGCTGTCACCAGAGAGCTTCCAGACAGTGAGGGACATCAGCAGTGGGGTGGGGTGTGGCTCAGAGTGGCAAAAGAAGCACAGGGTAGAGGGAGGGCCCTGCCAGTAACCTCCTGCAGAGCCCTAAAAATCACATCAGCACAGCCCAAGAGGTGAGAAAACACAGGAGGCCGGAGAGGTGGAGAGCAGCAGAGGCACCTCACTACAACACTGGGCCAGCACTCAAGGAGAGGAGGAGCAGCAGTGGGGGGACACAGGAATGACCAGCACTGAGATGTCCCAGCAGCAGCATCCTGAGATGTCCTGAGACCATCCTGAGATGTCCCAGCAGCAGCATCCTGAGATGTCCTGAGATGTCCCAGCAGCAGCATCCCCGCAGGGGCAGTGCTGGCAGCAATCCCTGTGCATTCATCCAGCCAGGGCTGCTCCAGGGAGCAGAACCTCCATGCCAGGTCACCTCTGGGCCACCTCCCCCCAGCCAGAGAGCAGCAGGTTTGCTCCTGGAGCAGCAGGACACCTCCCCCTGTCTCAGAACTCTGAGTTACATCTCGCTGCGCCTCTCCCACGTATCAGTTTGGCCACAGGAGAGCCCAGAACGGCCAAAAATCACCTGCCCCCCTCAGGTGATGTGACTCTGGGACAGTCAGCACCGGTGCCAGGCAGGGCACAGCACTGCCAGGGGGTGGCTCTGAGACAGGGGCTGTGTCCAACACCCACCACAGGCAAGAGCATCCCCCCCAGACCCTGCTCCAAGCTGTGTCCCACCAGGAAAACAGGCAGGAGTTCCTTTCTCCCTCTCAGGCCCGGGAAGCATTAGCCGGCAGGGGATGCTGTTGGCTTGGATTGCTTCCTTCTGCTCCCGCCGGGCTCCGCGGGCCAGCCCGGGAGCGCGGGGCTCTCAATGGAAGTTTTATGTCCCTCTGTCCCCTCTCCGGCGTTGCTGCAGGAGGGCACGTTTCCAAGAGAACCCCTCTGGTCTATGGATTATACAGAACGAGGGGCACGGAGCAGGGAGGAAATCCAGCAGCGGAAATCCAGCAGCAGAAATCCAGCTTTAAATCAGCTCCCCAGCCACCCCTGGGGTGACTCCCTTCTCCTCGGCTCAAAAGGTTTGGCACAGCCAGCACAATGCCCAGACCGAGGGCAGCTGAGCTCTCACAGCTCCAAACCACCCAACATCACCCCAAAAAGCTGCTTTTCCAGCTATAAATGTGGGTCAGCAGCGAACACAAAGGTCCTGAGGTGAGCAGAGGGGCTCAAGAGCGGGCAGAGGAGCAGCCCCGAAGTGAAAACCAGCGCAGGTTTTGCCACCTCTGTGCCCATTCCTGTCTCTAAGCAGAGGGTGGCAGCCTGTCCATGGCAAACACAAACCTGGGACCTCTTGCCACAGCAGGGTGGCTGCCCAGGGATGCTGGAGAGGGGCAGGAACACCGGGAGGCACTGCCCTTGTCCCATCCTCCACAAAGGTTTGTGTGTGCAGGGGAAGGGGGTGGGATGAACTGCCAGCCCCAAACACATGCCAAGAGCCTTCCTTCCACACCCTCTGTATCCACAGCCACCAAACAAAGGAGCTGGCTCCCAGGCTCCCGGGAAGCCGGGATTCCCAGTGCCGGGAATGGCAGGGGAGTGGGCACCCGGCCAGGCTGCAGCCACACACACCACACACCCTCCCCCGGCCCTGAGGGGCTGCTCCCACCAGCCAGGGCACACACAGGGGGTGTTCTAAGGGTGGGATTCACTGTTTAGGACAACTGTCAGTGCTGGGGAAGAGATGAGCCACCACTGACACGGGGCAGGGACCAGAGGAGCAGGGACAGGAGGGACAGGGTCACCCCAGGGGCTTTGATCCGTGCCCACACTCAGAATCATAGACTAGTTTGGGTTGGAAGAGACTTTTTAAAGATCATCTCTCTCCAACCCCCTGCCATGGGCAGGGACACCTTCCACTAGCCCAGGTTGCTCCAAGATCCATCCAACCTGGCTTTGGACACTTATAGGGATGGGGCAGCCACAGCTTCTCTGGGCAACCTGTGCCAGCATTTCACCACCCTCGTTGTGAAAAACTTCCTTATATCCAGTCTAAATCCACCCTCCATCAGTTTAAAACCATCAGCCCTTGTGCTGCCCCGACTTCACTCGCTTTTGCCAGGAGATTCCCAGAGGAATTGTCTGCGGGGTGTTTGCCCCACACCTGCAGCTTCCCAGCTCAGCCAGGGTGAGGACTGAGGACACACAGCCCCTCACAACCCCCCCAGGCCGGGTCAGCAGCCCAGCCTGCCCGTTCCACCCCCAGGAGGAGCTCGGGGTGCTCTCCCCCCACCCTCCCCAGGATGCTGGTGAAGGTGAGAGGCTGAGGATGGAGTCAGAGATGAGACAAGCACTAGGTGAGGTGTCCTTAGATCACAGTTTCACACCCCCAGCGCTCCAGAGGCTTTGATGCCACAGCAGCTGCCACTTGAGGAACCAAAAATGAGCCCGGCCCAGCTTCAGGCTGGGCCAGCTGGAGGCAGAGGGGAAGGGAGCTCCTCAAACTGTGATCTAAAAGCAATAGCTCCCTCGGAGGGGGGAGCACACACCCACGGGGGTGGGTGTGCTGTGCCCAGCTCCAGGAGGTCCCTATTGCTCCAGCACATCCCAGGGGGATGGGAGGATGGCACGGACTAACCAGCGACTCTGATGGTGGATGGAAAAATAAATGGGAATTTTTAAAATTATTTTCTTTTTGCATGACACGCCACCACTTACCAGCAAGAAGCTTCCTATGTTCTTTAGAAAGCAGGGGAGGAGAAAAAGGAGAGAACAAAACAGTTAGAAGCAAGAAAACAGGCAGCTGACCCCAAGCTTTCCTCCTCCCCGAGCCCCCTCCGCCAGCACTCCGCTACCAACACCACCTGGAGCACTTCCATCCTTCTCTTCCAGCCCTTTCCAGGCAGCATCGGGCACCAGCTCCCAAATCACCCCAGGAGATCATGGCTGGGCTCCTGGCACCTGCATCCTGGGCAGGAATTCCTTATCCCTTTAGCCCAGCAATCCAACATCTCACATGGAAGATGCAGGAGAAAACCAACAGCTCCCGTGTGGAAGACAGTTATTTTTTCTGCCTGTGGCAGGACCCAAGAGGTGGCCCAGGACTAAACTGTGCCCCTGGAGACCCACCCCAGTCCAGATCTGGCTGTGAAGGGCAGGGGGCAGAGGGACAGCATGACTGGCACTGCCACCCTCGCTTGCAACACAGGAACACACTGAGTTTACCCAGTAAACACCAATCCTTCCCCTATTAACCCTCATTTAGGGGCATCACTTGCCCCCTCTGAGTTTATTCCCACCCCCACCTTCTAAGCACATCGATCTAAACCTCTTTTAACAGCACAATGAGCTCCCAAATCTCCAGAGGGCCAGAAAAAAACCCTCCAGACCCTGATGTCACCGGTGACATCCCACACTGCAAGAGCAGAACGAGGGACAAACGGAACCAGAACCCCAAATATGTGCAAAGCACGACACAAACCCCACCAGGAACACCTCAGCACTGAGTGCTGGCTGTCAGCCACACGAGACAAGCGTGCTGGATTTGATCCTCAGAGGATTTGATCCACGAGGAGCCAACGCTCTTCCCTCCCAAGGACGGCTCCAGGAGACCCCGGGGAACGTCACAGCACAGCCAAAGGCTCAGAACTTCCATTAACTGTTACATTTCATGGATTGTCGTGCCAAGAGGTGTTTTCCCGAAACCAAACTAATTGGGAAGAGTCGAGGAGCTCAGCCTGGAGCTCTCCACAGCTTCCCAAGGATGGGGTGTTTCCCACTCAACCCTTTCCCATCACAGCTTGATCCCTCCTGTCCAAACGCATCACCTGGGCCGGAATTACTTTGGAAGCTGGGGAAAGCAGAGCAGCAGATGAAACAAAGTCCCCAGCAGATGAAACAAGGCTCCCAACAGACGTGATGAAAGAGGAGGTGAAGGGTTAAGCAGCTGAGCATTTTAATAGTCACTCTTGAGCACAGATTATTTATCTGCAAGTAACATAGGGCAGGAGGGAAGCCCTGTAACCATTGTGGAATTCATTCTAGATGCCTATGGAAATAGGAGCTGTCACACAGCCAGGTCCTCATCCCACCAGGGCACGGGGATCTCCCAGTGTGAAATCCAACTCTTAACCCCTCTCTTCTATTCATAGAATCACAGAATGGTTTGGGTTGGAAGGGACCTTTAAGTTCACCTCGTTCCAACCCCCTGCCATGGGCAGGGACACCTTTCACTAGCCCAGGTTGCTCCAAGATTCATCCAACCTGGCTTTGGACACTTCCAGCAGCCCCAGCTTCCCTGGGCAACCTGTGCCAGGGCCTCCCCACCCTCCCAGGGAAGGACAGCAAACCTAAATTTCCCCCCATCCAGTTAGAACCCCCTCCTCCCTTGTCCTATCCATACAGCTCCTGATGGAGAGTCCCTCCCTCTGCCCAGACTGCTCTGCCTGCTCCCAGCACCACAGCACAGCTACTCCACAGTTACAAGCAGGTGGAATTTGGAGCATGTGGTGCTTCCCAGGCTGCTCAGAGAGGACAGACACAGCCCCGGGGCAGCGGGGCCAGGCAGGGTGAGGACACAAGGGACAGAGGTGGGCGACTTCCCAGGGAAAGGGACACCCAGCAGAGGAAAGAGAGGAGGAGGAAGGCAAGGATGGGACACCCAGCAGAGGAAAGAGAGGAGGAGGAAGGCAAGGATGCAGCTGGAACACCCAGCACCCCACAGAGGGGTGCAGAGCCCCCCTTCCCCCTCGGTGCTCTGCGTGCCACGTTGGCAGCAGCTCCACAACGAGCCGTGGGTAATGTGACACTGTGAAGAGCCCTGACAGCTCACTGGGGACCGTGAGGGGAAAAACAAAGTGAGCATTGAGGGCTGGGGAGCGGCCCCGTGCCAAGGAAGTGACGTGCTGCCTCCTCCGCTGGCAACCCCGGGAGCCCTGTCTGCTGGAACCTGTTGGGAGATGGAGGGAAGAAAGGAAGAGAGGGAGGGAAGGGGGGAGAAAAAAACCAGCTTAAAAATATCCCAGAGCAGCACAGTTATTTTGGGATTTTTTTTTTTTTCATTTATAAAAAGAGGAAGAAAAACAGAAAAGAAAGCCAAGACCCCATGACCAGCCCCGGTGTAGATGAGATGTTTGTGTCTGGCTGTGCTCCCTCCCTCTCTCCCTCTGCTCTGATGCCTCTAAATTAAAATTATGTGCATTGTGCTGCCTCCAGCACATCCTTCTGTCACCTGGCAGAAGAGGTGGTGCTTCTGGACCACCCCCCTGTCCTCTTACTCTGCTGCTCCTGGGGAGCAGCAGGAGAGCCCTTGCCAAGGGAAAAGATGGGAATGCCAGTGTGGGACGGAGGCAACAGAGCAAGGGTGGGTGTTGCGTATTTTGGGGGGTCTCAGGTCCCCTGTGTGGGTGTGGGCAGCTCTCCCAGCTCAGCCTGGTCACCTCAGGCACCCGTGGCAGAGGGCCAGGAGCTGCCACCCCACACTGGGTCAACACATCATCACCTCACATGCAGAGCTTCCCTCGCAGCAGGCGGGTCCCCCAGCTGCTGGCACGAGCCCTGGCACCCCGGGGAGCCACCCTGGCATCCCAGGGAACCACCCTGGCATGGCACCATGTCAGTCCTCCACGCTCCTTGCAAGGCATTCCCAGACCCCATCACCAAACACAAACACACACAAGTGACATTCCCAGGACAAATGACATGCCCAGGACAAGTGACATGCCCAGGACAAGTGACATGCCCAGGACCAGCCAGTAATAAACTGTGGCAGAGGGACACAGCACACACACACACAGGGAACAGCTGGAAGCAGGAGAGCTCCTTTCCCACGTGCCAAAGCTCAGCATTATTCCCCAGCTGCACCTACACTTTAGGGTATCCCTGCAGTAGGTCCCACTGGGGTGTGGAGATCCTTGGGATCATCCAGGATCCAAGCCCTGATGTTCCAGTAACAGCAGCTACTTCTCAGAATCAGGGGAAAACCAGGAGCAGCCAGATGGCAACAAGGAGAAGATGGAGTTGCCTGGCCAGGACCCCACAGAGCTGGCAGCTCCTGGGAGCAGGAATTCCAGCTCTGTGGGCCTGGGATGGAACAGGATTGCTGCTCCAGGGCCAAATCCCAGCCAACGGCCCGGGGCAGAGCACAGGGAGGAGCACACGGGGTGAAGGGCAGGCAAGGAAAAGGGTCAGTGTCCCCTGGGAGCGCTGCTGGCTCTGGTTTGGGGGTGGGCAACAGGATCCCAGAAGGGTGAAGGGCCTTGGGACGCACCCACAGCCACCCTGGACGCTTGACCCCGAGGAGCCACGAGCCAAGTGTGAGTCACAGAGACTCCAGACCACTCTTGTGCTCAGCAGCATCCACCCACACAGCACTGCTCCAGCTGGATGGACACCCCAGCCCCTTCCCACAGCGGCCCCTTCCACCCCACAGCTCCTTCTTCCTAAGGCCCAGGAGATCCCACCATTCCAGCAGGGTGCACATGTTCTCCCTCTCGTTTTTTAGAACAAAAGGGCAATTGAGCTGAGCAGCCCCTGGGCCTGACCTGCCTTTCAACTCCAGCAAATTTCCCTGGGCTTTGATTTTTCCCCTCCTGGAGCTGCAGCTCAGCGGAGCAGCTGTGAACACCAAGAAGGGGAAAAGAAGTTTATTTTACTATATATTAAATAAAACAAAACCCGAAAGGAGAGCAGGGGGGGGGCTCTGTTCCAAGGTCAAGCACTTGACTGTGGAAAGTTTTCCTGGACAGAAACACACTTGGAGCAGGGGGATGAGCCTGAGCTGTGCAGAGAAGTGATGCAGAGCAGGAGCTGGTGGCCTGCCTGGGGATGCCAGCCAGGAACAAAGCAGCCCTTCCCCTCCCTTCTGAGGCACCCAGGACATGCCTTTGGACTTACTCCTTCCTGCCAGAGGCTGTGTCAGGAAAAGTGGCACTTTCTGGGAAACCACATGTGACTTGGACCAGTCACAGAGCCATCTCCTGACTAACAGCTCTGATCCTGAGTCACTCCCCAGCTGCATCCCAGGCCACTTCCCTGCCACCTCACGGGTCAGACCTCCCCAAGGCCAGTTGTGCTCCAGAAAAACCCTGCCTGGGCATCCCAACCTGGAGAAGAGGCTCTGGAAAGAGGCTTTGCAGCTGATAATGAAACACGGGGTGAAGCCCAGGGCAGGGGGTTCCTCTGCAAGGCTTCCCTCAGAGGAGCACCTTCTGCATTCCAGGGAAGGCAGCAGGGGATGGATATCACTCACCTGCACCCCCCTCCTCAGGTGACAGAGCTCCCAAGGGAAGCTGCAGTGCCTGCAGAGCCAGGGAAGGGATCCCTGCTGGATCCCAGGAACCCAGCAGCACAGTGTTCCCTTGGCCCTCACACCAACATCCCTGAGAAGCCCGCCAGGGAGCCCAGGTTGGACTGTCTCATTCCCAAGGAAACAAGCCAAGGGTTCCCACGCCACCTTCCCGCCGCTCGGCGCACAAAAGCAACACAGACTTCCTGAAATCCCTCTCTCCATGACCCTCCCTACTGTTCCTCTGCATCCTGCTCCAAGGCCACGCTCTGGGCCGAGATAACAAGGCACTTGCTGCCAAAACCAGCAGCCAGAGGGGCCCAGGATCCATGTGGATCTGCATTCCAAAGAGAGACCTGATCCGAACAGACAGAAAGTGGGGATGGATCCCCGTGGGGGTTTAGCTAATCCACCTAAGGCCAGCGTGGGATTTTGGGAAGAGCTCAGGACGCGG